TACTACATAATGGGAAAATCTAGAAATAAGAGTATAACTACATTATTTGGAGTGAAAGTGACCACTTCCAGAAGAACATAAATCATTGAAACTATTCAATGGGATGCTTCTGGGGAATGAGAGTAGGTTTAGACAAGAAAGATTTTTATCTTCATTCTGATCTTTTTCTATGCATTGAAATTTCACCTACGTCATTACTATTTACCTCCTATTTATTAATATGCAGTGCTGTGTATTTACCCCTTTCCTTATGTACTTTACTATAGAGCATACAGCTTTATAGGTTCATGTTGTATACATTTTACTTTAAAACACAATCAGAACAATCAAATGCAGGCTGGGCCAGCCCTCAGCACATGTGAGAGGCATTCCAGTAATTCAAACATGCTCTCCCAGCCCCTGTCTGCACATCTCCCAGGCTATATCCTTGTGTTTCCGATTACTGTCATGTCAACCCGACTTCACATATCTGAAGGAAACCGACAAGCCAGAGAGGCACCCAGACACATTTACTAGAGGATGTCAAACATTTAGATTCCAGAAAATATAAAAAATATTAACTGAATCCATCACTTTTCAACTGCAAGACACGGACAGGGCGTGCATACCTAATTGCATCTTAGCGCCTTCTCTTTCTTCTTTCCTGTACATCTCCTGATTTCTTGCTCTTCCTGGAGTTTCTGAAATAATAATACCAGAGGAATGAAGAATCAATTAAGAACGCCTTTGACTCTCTGTCCTTGGCAGGGTGACACGCCACTCTGTGCTGAACCGAGGCCTTAGAGAGGCCCTGCTGGTTTCCAGGCTGAATTAAACGTTCTGAGCAGTTTATTCTCTGGCAGCGTGTCCAGCGACTTTGCCTTTAAGATGGCATCAACCTTTATGGTTGGGAACTGGGCTGGAAGTATAGGTTGTCATTGAAATAAAATAGGAGCTTCCTCGGCTTTATTAGGGAGTTTTAGGGTTTGCCATTCGTTTCACCTTGACATTTATGCTAAAATTTAGAGTGCTTGATCTTTCCTACTCTAGTTCCCTTTTCACTAAATGGGGAAAACCGTAAAACCCTGTGAGCACTGTGAAAGAAAAAGGCAGCTCAGAGCTGCTTCCCAACAGCCCCTCGCAGGGGGACTGCGGTTTTAGGCAACAGTGAAACCCTTTTGGCATGCAGAGGAATAACACTGGAGTACGCAACTCCCACAATTTTGATAATGAAATTGAAATTTGTTCTCCACACATTTTAAACCAAACCCACGTCCAAATTTTCTTTATTCTAATAAAGCATAGGTACAAAAACTGTATCTTTCTCTGGGAGAAAATAGTTGCATTTGTAGGTGTTTCAGGCCCAACACCATCTGGTTTTCCAGAGAGTGAGCTTAACTAGTGCTCTTCCTGAACCTGGTCCTATCTGGGGCTGCCGGACTAGAGAGCCCTGCGTCACTAGAAGGTTTGTTGCTGCAGGCAGAAGCCTGCAGGAAAAGCAGGGCAAACTGCTGCAGAGGTAGCTGCGGGTTTGCTTTCAGAAGGACCAAACTGAGGATAGACTTTCGGGGTGTTCTCTTTCAGGGACTTTATAACAAATAGAAATCTCTATGGGGTGGCCAGACATGAGTGACAACCTCTAAGTTCACTTTGAAGAAGATAAGAATATAGAATTCAAAACAAACAAACAAAAATCGTAAACCATTAACGCAGAGCCCCAGGCGTGATGAGATCCATCTAGCTTGTTTCTAGATGTTCTAATTGCAGAGCCCTTGGGTTCACCCCCTGAAGAGATCTCTTGGTCTCTCTCCTTCTCTCTGTCTGTGTACCCCAGAATATATTTGTCTGAATGTTGGGTGAGACAGCAGCATCTACAGGTTAATGTTAACAAAGTGGAGGCAGAAATGGTAAGGTGAGATCAGATGTTTCCCAGAAACAGTCGGTTTCTGGAGACACTGATAAGCATCCAGAGACAGCGAGAGGATATTCTGCAGGTGAGTGTCCTGGTGCAGCCTCCGAGCCTTGCTGTCGGCCTCTGTGGACCGGCCCGTATCACCAGAGGATCAGGAAATGGAATATAATCTATTGCAGGGTGCTCAGAAGGAAGCATGCAGAATGTCCACTTCAAGCTTCAGAGAGATAAAGAAAGACATTTGAGAAAAGAATCAGAGCTGAACAGGAAATGCTAAAAGGTCAGGGGAAAAAGTGTGCTTTTAATTAGAGAAATGGCATCCCCAAGATGATTGTTGGGGCTTTAATAAATCCATCTCTTTAAAATTCTAAGGCTTCTAGTTTGAGAAATGCTTCATGACTAACGTATACTGTAACAGTAATACATGAACTTGGCTAAACAGACAACCTGAAGCAAAAATATTAAATAAAGACTCCCGTCTTGATAGCTCTAGGCCCACTCTGCAGATTTCATGGCTGTTTACCCATAGTTCTATTTTTTAGGTAAATTCCCAGGAAATTTATTTTCTCACTCCCCCCACCACCACCTTTCTCCCTCCCTCCCCATCCCCCACTCTCTGTCTTTGGTCCTTTTTGGAGAAATAAAATCGTCTGATGAACCACAGTCTCATTTGAAACCTGCTCCTTTCACCTGACGTCAGGACGCACGGCCTCATGGCACACAGTGTCCGCATCTGCCACGTGCCCCCAGAGCCTGGCTTTTTCTAGTCTTTGGCCTTTCTAAACAATGCTACTGTGAACATCCACGTGTCTGTCTTCTTGGACTTTAGCTGTAGAATAAACTCCTCCGAGAGGAACTGATGAGTTAATTGCATTTGGTAACCACAACCCTATTTTTATGAATCATTTAATCCTGTCAACCTTGACCACTGGAGAGAGCCTAGTTCTCAATCCTCTGGCCTTGATGAGTAACAATTACTTTCCAAATATTGTTTCAATTTGCATTTCTTTAATTATACATTAAGTTGAAAGTCTTGTATTTCATTTACAGTGTGTGTTTACTTTTCTATTTATAGAAAATGCTAATTTTTCTAATGGATTGTTGTCTTTTTTCTAATAATTCTGAAACCACTTCACCACACCCACATTAAGAAGCTTTTCTCAATCATTGTTTCCTCAAATTGTACTTTTTAAATTTTAACTCTGATACAATATTTCAAATTCTACATCATAAAATACAGATGAAGTTGATCAAACTTGTCCTTTGTGCTTCTAGCTTTTGTGTTTTGCCACGAAGGCCTTATCAGCTTCAAGATAATACTAAAAATAAAAATTCTATAATTTTTCTGTTACTTTTGTACTTTTATTTTTACAGTTAAATGTTTGATTTATCTGGAAGTAATTTAGGTGGAAAAAAAAAAGAGCTGTGGGATTTCCAAATGCCTGCTCTTGAACTTTTCCTCCTGGGTTTGAAATGCCACCTTTACCATGGTTAAGATTCCCACAGGAATCCTGTGTTGTTCTGGGCCTTGGGAAACCTCTCCTCCTATCTCTCTATCTATTCCATGTCCACACTTAACAGCTGGCTTTTTGTAATCTTCAAATGCATTTTAACTTCTCTTATGCTAGTGGGTGCTAGTTTATTTTACCAGTTTATCTCTTGAGAATTTCCCTTTCTTCTACTTTGATTTTTTCTATAAATTTTGGAATAGCTCATCCTCTTTCCTCAAAAACCTTACTGGTGTCTTGATAGAGATTGTGAGGCATATCTCAAAGTTGGAGAAAACTGGTGTATTTATGAAGTTTTTTTAGTCAATTACAAAGCGTGTGTTTAAATACATCCAGGATGGTCTTTTGGGTCTCTCAGTAGAAGTTTGTTTTCTTTTGTTATTGTTAACTTCTTGATAATATTTGAGGGTCTTATTTTCCCTATTGATTTATTTCCTAAGGGGACTCAGGCATGCAGGACTGTGGCAGGACAGTGGCAGGTACTCAGTACAAACAAGTAGTGGCACTGTGGTTGCTCCCATGGACAGTGGTGGCATTGATTTGCGCATTATGCACTGAGTGCTTGCCACCTCTGTGCCAGAACGGGCCATGCATGTGGGCACACTAGCTCGTTGTTGCCCTGCTTGCCACTAAGAACAACCTAATGGCTCATGTTCTGTTGTTCTGGAAATACCAACCCAGCGGATGGTGAGCTAAAGACAAAAATCAAAACAGAAGGGGCAAAGTTTCTGCTAACTGCTGCTGCTGATATATACCCCAAATTGCCAAGAGCAGCAACCTTCAAAACCAACTGAAACAAAAGTTAGTGCAATTAGTAAGAAAACTTAGTAGAATGGCCAAGAAAATATTGATACGTAAAATCAACAATTTTCCTATACATGAAAAAGGAACAGGAAGTAAAATAATAGAGGAAACAAAATTCTTAAATTTATTATCAAGAAAAATGACCAGCAACAAAGAAAACAGATTTCTCCTGGGAGATTTAGAGTAGACAAAAAATTCACAAAGACAAGTCATGAGAAGACTGAGGAATGAGTGGCACAGCCGTAATCAAGGAGCACCAGGGTCAGCAGAGGCTGGTGGAGGTGGGATCCTCTACAGACACCTGGGTTTGGAGCACCTGGTCTCCAGAACCGTGAGTTTCCTGTTGTTTCCACCCATGTGGTCTTGGTTAAAGTGGCCCCAGAAAACCAACATAACAATATAGATAATTCCCAAAGGATCAATGTCCAGAATATATTATGAAACTCTACAGATCAATAAAACAATGCAAACTACCCAACTTAAAAATGGAAAAGGTATATAAGTTGCAAACTAAGCAATGCATACAGCTGTCTAGTACTAGGTGACTACTATTTTATCATCAATTCATTTCAATCACTGCAATCCACAAGACAGGGAAAGGAGAAGTGGCGTAATGTTAATGATGATGATTTGTATTTTAATAATAGTTTAATTATATTAATGCATTAATAACAACCTGAAAATTTGTGTTAATAGGATTGTTTGAGTCCCAACCTGTATTTTGTCCTGCTGAGGTCCATGTGGCTTGGTGGGAGATGATGAAGTGGTCTTTATGGCCTCTGTGTGCTTCCCCGCAGGTGCCTGGTCAAGTTAGGAGCTGGCTGAGGACCACACAGGAGCTCCCCTGCAGGTAGAGTGGGAGTGGAATTCTCCACCACTGGGCTCAGGGGGTCCTGGCCCCTCCAGGCTGGGCTGCCTGCCTCACATGGCCATGTCACTGCTCCGTGTTTAGTCCAGAGAATGGAGCCCAAGTCCTGATTCCCCATCGTCAGAATCCAGGTGTCACCATGAGGTACCCAGATCTACAATGGACATACATTTTCTTGAGCCCTGCTCCCTGCCTTCTACTGAGCCAGCTCCATCCTACCTCAGAGCTTATGCTTGGGGTGTCACGGACACATCTGTAAAGGGGCACAGGCCTGGAGGGCTGTCCTGGCAAACGTGGACTGCAGCCCTGCAGGAGACTGGTGGGACAGAAGCCAGTGTCCTCCTGCTTCTCTCATCCCTCTGATTTCCACGTTCTTGGTGCCTTTCTTCCACAGAGCAACCAAAGGGAAGAGGGCCCTTTGCCTTGAGACCAGCTTCAGGGAGTGGCCACGGGTCAACCATCAGCTTCATGTGAGTTCGCTGTGAGCGGTGGGGCAAGGCCACCTCCAGGTAGCTCCCTGGTTGCCCCCGCAGGCAGTCACGGGCTCCCACCAACAGCTGGAATAGAAGAGCCACAGAAAAAGCTGCTGCGGCGGTGGCTGCTGCTTGGAGAGGCGCGGATACCCGGAGGACCCGGCGGGAGGCTGGAGGCTGCATCTGGCTCCTGTGTTCACAAAACACTCACTCTTCTCATCTGTATGAGACGGGCTCGGCCTCTGCTAAGTGCACAATTTCGTGATTAAGTGTGCAAAGTCTAGCGGGGCAAGGATGCAGCCTGCGCCTCGCCAGTCTTGGTCTTAGGTAATTTCCCACTTTTTCTGTGCATTTCAAAGTCTCTTTGAAGCTTCTAATGGGCCAATGTTCAAAGGGTATTTTCGATAATTTATGTCTAGCTTTCAGGGGGAAGCGACAAGCCCGGAATCGAGATGCTGGCTCACAGTTCATTGAGACATTTTTCCCTGGCAAAGGTGGTCCTTGACGTGGATTCAACAGTGCAAGATGCTCTCCGACAGGGAGACCTGCCCTCGCTTCCTGCCTGTCACGGAGGAGCCCTCTACCACAGAAGAGAGGGAGAAACGCAAGGGGAGACTTTTCCACTTATTTCTTTCCCTTTAGCTCTTAGTGGTATTTTTATTTTTTGCTCAAAAAGCAAACTTTCCTCAAAAATTTGAGTCCTAGTGCTATTAAGTTCTATGTAATAATCTACCATTTTATTTTTATCAATTAAACTTATCCCTCAAATGTAGATTCTCACCTCAGGCGGCCCTTTTGATTCTTCCAGAAGATTGCTAGTTCAGCCAAGTGCCGCGTGCGTATCCGTTCCTCTAATTACCTGGCTGATGTGCTGCTTCCAGCCCCTTCCGGACCTGGTTGGCGAGACGTCTGTTCTCCTGGGTTTCAAGAAGTGAGGATAAAACTTCATTCAGTGTGAAGCTGTTGGTTAGGACCACGTCCTCAGGGCTGTGGGGTTTGTTAAGTGTCTTCCGGATTCTTCTTTGTGTTTGGTGAGGCTCAGGTGCATGCCCCTGCTAAGAGCCACAGCCAAGTAATATGATGCATGGCATTTTTGGTTGAAAGGTGACGCCAGCTAGCCATTGAGATGATATGATTATGTTAAGATTTGCATTCATTTGGATATTGGACTCCTGCTGTTCACCTCGGCCTGCTACAGGACTCCTGGAGAGTTCCCATTGGTTGGGGAAGTACAGTAGGAGGGAATTCCGGGGGAGGAACCTCCTCTGGGGTTCCGGGAGAACAACACGTGGGTCAATCAGAATTCTTCCCTGGGGCGAACGGGGCATTGGAGGCAGCTTCAAAAAATAAAGTTTGTTCCTGCTTGAGTGGCTCGTGATTTTGTGCCCAGCCAGACTGCGGCATGTCCCCACCACGGAGCCTGTCTTGTTTGGAGGTTCCATTGGAGTCAGATGTGGGCCTTGGGGAGTGTGTATCCTGGGATTCTGGTCCATTCTGGGCTACTTCAGTAGGCAGTCCTGGTTCTGAGGGGACAGGCCATGGTACTACTGCTCCTCCCCTGACTGAGCCCTGGGCTGAGGTTATACCTGACCCAAATCTACTACCAGGAGGACGGATGACCAGCTCAGCCCCTGTGTGACCACACATCTGAGGTTGTAGATTGGGGATGGGAAATGAGATACCTTTAAGGGCAGAAAATGTTCCTAGATGGAGAGAGGGTTCTGAGCAGGGTCCGTCAGGGGAGAGGCCACTGTGGGACCAGAGGTGGGCTGGGCATTCTTCCGGTTCCACTCATGGACTCTTGCTCCCGTGCAGGTTCCCCATCCTCCCAAGTCTGTGGTAAAAGCACAAAGGGTCTGTTTTCATCCTCCTTCCCCTCCCCACCCCTAGCATTGCCCATGTGCTCTACCAGCAAGGCTTGGCCTCCCGCCTGCCCTTTCTGCACAGGGGGATGCAGCCCTCGTGTTTCCCAAGCTTCTATTTCTGATTCTCATTTCTGAAGGGGCCTTGCCAGGTGCCAAGTCTGTCATGGGCTCAGGAAGGGCACACAGGTCTGGGTCCTCATCCCCTCTGAATGTGACCCAAAGGCTCCGTACCTGGCTTGGGCTGGAGTAAAGGTCCCTGTGGCTGGGCAGCTCCTGCCAGCCAGGCTTTGCATGCAGTGCTTCTCACGCATCACCCCACCAGTGAGGTTTCCTGTCTGTCTCACAAACAGGGAAACTGAGGCCGAAGGACAGTGACTCTCCGGAAGCACCCACAGCACTCAGCCCCTGGGCGGGAACCCAGTGTGGCCTGGCTCCGTGCTCCAGGGGCACCTTGGCTGAGCTCAGCTGTGATGACCGAGCCCCAGGAGAAAGTGGAGGCCTAAGGGGTTGGAGTCAGGTCCTGGTTGCCTCGGGGCCTCTCCCTTGCTAGGGGCTCTGTTTGGAGGCCCATGTGCTGCAGGCCCTGCTGGGAGTTGGTGGAGACTTCAGGAGGTGGGAAGGAAGGCAGGCAATTGGGGCCCCCATCCCACCTTTCCTCTCTCTCTCCTTCCCACAAGTGACAGCTTCCTCGGCATGCTCTTGCCACAGTATACCGTCTCACCATCTATGGACGGAAACCTCCAAAACTGTGAGCCAAGAAGAAGCTTTCCTCTGTATAAGTTGAGTATCTTAGGCATTTCGCTGCAGTAACAGAAGGGTGACTAAGTACTTAGGCCTTCTATGTTCCTTTCATATGGGGACTTGTAAGGCCACTGTCCCTAGCCTGACTCCCACCAGGGGTCCTCAAGGACCTTGCTTCATTTGTTGACTCTGACTGTGTGTCACAGGGAGGGCAGAGGCGTGGAGAATGCCAGGTTCACATGAATCCCAGCCGGGCCAGGCATCAGGCAGGGGGACAGGGTCCAGGACCAGCCACTCTCTTCCTTTCCTCAAAGGAAGCTCACCAGTGGTCACCTGTTGTCCTGCCTTCCTTCCTTCTTCCTCCCTCCCTCCCCTTTTTCCTTGGTCCTGGACATGGAGCCTGGGCCTCCACACAGGCTAGGCAATGAGTCACACCATGGTCCAATCACGTTCTTAGCAGCCCCATAGCTCTGGACATCACTGACCAGGCTGATAACATTCAGAGGACGGGCCGCCGAGGAGGTGTGTGGTCTGTGTGGGCACAGCTGAAGTCCCCAGAGGAGAGTGGGGAGGCGGTGTGGGGTGACGAGCCTGTGCCTGGCACACGTGCACACACACACCCCGGAACTCAAGCACACGTCGCACCCCTGCACACTCGCTCATTGGTGTCTCCCCGTCTGCACACAGGAACACACATCTAGGCACACCTGTGTGCCAAAGGACAGCTCCTCATCCACAAACCTGAAGGTGCATTTAGAGAGAAGCAGGGATCCTATTTAGAACCACTAAAGGTGGCAGACAAGAGTAGGAGTGGGCAGCAAGCACACGTCTGGACTCGGAGCTCCTCTGAGAGCATTAAAGGAGCTGGCGGTCAGGGCCCTTCCTCCTTGCACATCCTTCTCCTTCCGCCGTGACCCTGATCTGGACCCTCCCTTTATAAATGCACAGTCTGAGGCCTAGACAGGGAAAAGGAGGATAACTTGGAAATCAGTGCTGAGGAAGGACCAGGCGAGCCAGCGCCTGCCCCAGTGCACTGTGCGGCCAGCCTGGGCACCGTGGTGCCCACCAGTGGCACCGTTCTCCCTTCCTTCCTCCCCTGCGTGTGCTTGGGGCACCTCCTCCTGCTGCTCGTGCTGGATCAATTTGTCCTCCAGTTAGGGAAAATCAGCCTATGCTGTTTTAACATACAAACAGTGGCTCCAAACGAGATTTCCCAGTTGCTGCTGAAAATGTAATAAAATAATTCTTCGTGCTGACAGCTCCCGTGTAGACCATTTGGAAAACATCAAAGGATGAATGTTAAGTGTTCATTCCTGATGCCCAGTGTGCAGAGTGTGCCCCGGGATACTGGGCTTTGCCTCTTGCAAAACTTACTTTCAGCATTGCCAGCGCATGTGGAAGGAACGGACAATGGTGTTGGAGGAGCTTCCACAGGGTGCTTGCGATGTCCAGAGCCAATCTGGGAAGAGTCACAGAGCTCTGTTCCTCTAGATGGACCACCACAGGCTCCAACCTGAGCTCCTGTCCCCCGGGAGGAGTCCAGGATCAGTGGAGGTACAGCCCGCCTGCCTCGGTGGCTGGGGAAATCCAGCCCGGGGAGCCTGCCGGTCATTCCCCCATTCCCCTTTGCCAGGCACTTTGGGTGGGGCCATCCTTTCCCTTCTCACTGTGAGAATTAGCACCCTCAGTTGGCCTAACTGACATTCCGATATGAACCCAGGCAGATTTTAAAAGGCAGAGTTCCCTTCCCAGCCACTGGCACTCAGCTGGAGCTCCCTTGCAGCTTCTATTCACTGGCCCCATCCTTCCTTTTTGATTGGGTGTCAGCCTGAAGACGTGGGCTTCCCCTCCCCCTGCAGCAGGGTCTGGAGCCTGAGTTGGAAGCCACCCCGCCCTTGTCCTCCAACAGGTCTCAGCTCTGCAGGCAAATCTAGGCCGGTAGCTGAACTTCTGACTGCACCTCGAGATTCCTGGCAATTAGACCTGTATTTCTTGGGAAAGCTGTGATTAAAGGAGAGTTACTTAGTGAACAGCAGGAGGCAGTTTGGGGGCACAAAGGAATGTGGCAAAAATGGGTCCTGGAGGGGCTCTAGCTCCAAGTGGGAAGACAGATCTTCAAAGCCAGTTTCCCTGGGCTAATGTCAAGTGTCGACAGGGCTGTGTCCTTCCAGAGGCTCAGGACTGGTGGGGTGAATCCTTTCCTTTTCTTTTGGCCAGCTTCCTGGAGCACCTGCACTCCTGGGCACAGGTCCCCATCACTCTGCGTCTGAGCCTCCTTTCTCCCTCTTAGCATGACCCTTGTGAGGGTATGGCACCTCTGCATCATCCGGAATAATCCCCCATCTCAAAATCCTCTGCTCAGTCTCCTCTGCAAAGTACTTTCTGCCACATAAAAGAACAGATTCGAGGGTTAGGACGTGCACAACTTTGGGGGCCATTGCTGTCTACCAAAGACAGAAAATAGTAAGGCAAAGCGGAAGAGGAGAGGGACGTGTTGCCAAGGGGCAGAGAGATCCCCTTTCTGGGCATCCGGGGGTCAGCAGGGCTGGGCAGGGCGCCAGCCTCTGGCACGGTGCTGTTGCCCTGGCCTTCCCCACCTGCCTCTTCCTCTGCTTTGTTAATTCCCTTTGTTTTTCATCCCAAAGTTTGAATCCTCCGACACACATGCACACTCACACACGTACGCACAGATCCACACGCAGAGGGACACTGAGGAGCAGGCTATTTCTTTCTTCTTCTTTTTCTTTCTTTTTAATTTGGCATTTATTGAAGCTGATGGAGTGAACTGGATAAGAACACCCCAGAGTAACTGATGTGCCACTTAAAATATTGAACAGCCATTTAGAAAAAAAATGTACTGAACATTCGGTGCCACCACGGCCCACGTGGCCCTGCCCCTGCACTCTGGGGTCTCAGTCAGAGAGCAAATTCCCCCAACCCCAGCCTTGGAGCGTGGGGCCCGTCTCTGCACTGGAGAAATGGTGAGTCCCAGAGAACAAGGTCATTAAGCAAAGTTAGTGACAACCAGAGCAAAGGGGAAGTGACAGCAACCTCGGGTCCCAGGGAGAGGCGGCCTCTTAGAGAGCAGCACGTGGGCCCTTCTGGGCTCCCCGATGCCCACAGCAAGCCCCGTGTGAGCTGCGGCTCTGCCGCCTCCAGGACTCCAAGGCCTGCGACTGCAGTTGTCTGCTCTTCCATTAGCATCGGCGGGATTTGAAGCGTGCTGTGTAACGCTGAGACCCAGAGAAGGTTGCACAAGTATTTGATTTTTTATCGCAGGGAAGCGGCAGCCTTTCAGGGAAAGCTGAAGCAGGCCCTCCCGGTCACAGACGCAGTTCCGACTCTTCTAAGACTGTTTTACACCTTTATTTTTGATACTTAGAATAAAGCCAGGACCTGCCACTTTCTGAAATGCCTGGCAAATGCACCGATAGGGGAAAGGGTGGCCTCAGGATTTGGGGATTGACCTGGGGTTTTCTAACTGCTGCTGACTCGGATGCTGACGGGGAATGCATCTAAATCCTTGGAAGTCGGGCTTAGGACTTGAATTTCATAGTGCATAAAAACGGGTTTCTGGCGCAGAATCTGATATTTCCTTCGCTGGCCCGGCTGGAAGCATTTCAAAGGCAGGCTTCCAGGCGCTGGTGTGTTGCTCACTTTTCCAGCTATAACCGAGAAACGCAGACCTTCCACAATGAATCGGGCCAGCAGAACAGGAAGATGGGGTCGGGCCTGGGAAGGACAGCCTGGAGC